GAAATGAACGAAGTGGCCTGATGGCCCAGAGGGGAACACTGGGAGGTCTGATCTCGCTGAGCTCATTGAGCTATTGAAGGAGGTTAGATCACCACTCACATTCCAGAGGACAGGAACCTGGCGGGGGGAGGACTGGACACCATGCCAAAATACTTAAAGAAGTGATGTTAAGGATATCCCCTCTCCTCTTCCTCCTAAGCCAAGATGTGACACTACCTCCCTGAGTGCCTGCTCCTGTGGGGGAAGCTGCAGCAGGTGTTCCAGTGAGGTGTTGCCATGCATCCTTCACCACCTCCTGTGCACACCATTAGCTCCCAGCACCACTTCCAGTCTTCTTCCTCCCCCAAAAAGGGGATTCTCAAGTAGAAGTGGAAACTGGAGATATAAAAAAAAAAGTGAACAACTCAGAATAGACCTGGACCTGAGGTGCTGGCAGGGTAGTGGCAGAGGGGTAAGACAACTTCTGCAAAGATAGGGTTCAGGGCAGACTAAGGTGCATTGGCAAAGATCAGTTGAGCAGAATAAGGTTTTGCAGAATGGGCTTGAGAAGCCTTAACAGAACTGTGTCAGGGAAGAGGACTTGAAGAGCAGGGCTCTTCAGCAGATCAAACATCAGGTGTATTGGCAGAGATGTGTGAGGAGTCAGGGTTGGCATAGCAGGAAGTGCAGTTGGCCAGTGTCGCTATAGTACTTACAACTGTTCACCTTCAGGGAGCTTTACAAATACTGGCCCATTAATATCTACCAAGTCCCTGTGTAGGAGGTAAGCATCATTTCTCCAGTAGGTTAAGTGAGTTGCTTGTAACCACAGGGAAAGCCACTGTTAGAGTCAGGATTAGACTGTACTGCTCTTGGACCATGACTATGCTTTGACCAGTGGGCCTCTGCCCTTGTCTTCTACACAAGTCATTGTTAACTGCTGTCACTCAAGCTGGCATGGTTTCCGTGTGGCTCCTCACACCTCCTTGTTATAACTGTGATTTTTCAAATGCTAAAATTCCCAGTAAAGCCATTGATGCACTCAAAAGGCGCCAGGCTGCAGCTGAGGCCAGCCTGGGGAAATGAGAAGTTGAATCCTTAAGACAGGACAATCCAGTGCAGGAGGGAGAAAGGAGGAGTGTGCTTGCTGCCTGGCTCTTTGCCTCTGGGGATGATGCAGTGGTACACCAGCAGCAGGAAAGGGATGGCAGTGTGTCTCCTGTTTCAGCAGGGCACATGGTATGTCTTGAATCACATCCCTGAGTAAACCTGTGACTCCATGAGAAGGCCCTGCAGAATGGCTCTCCCCAGCCATTCTCACCTTGCCCCTGCCCCTCCCTCCTCATAGCTCTACCTGCCAGGACCTGCCTGGGACAAAGATAAAATTATACAGCTCTAACAGATGCTTCAAGTCCCCACGCCCCTCCCCTTGCCTCCCCATGATCACCGCTCGCCTGCTTCCCAGCGCTATCCACAGCACCAGGGAGTGCAGACAGACGTGGCCCGATTTCAGAGATGCCAATTATCTGCAGCTCCTGTTGGCTCCAGCTGGAGATGCAAGGGCTCAGCACTTCCTGAAATCAGAGTGGTCTGTAATTGTGGGCATCTCCAGAACTCAGCTGGTGGAGGGCTGGGATGTTCTTGCATCTTGCAACTGAAGGGAGTTGGGTGGGATAGTTCATGCCCTAGCTTCTCGCCAAAGGATTGTTCCCACTGGAGAGGTGCTGAGGTCAGATGGGGCTGAGTAATAGCATGGCAGGGAGATAGGCACATCCTCTCAGCCCCTTCCACCCCCAATTCCCCCTTCATCCAGTCCAGCATGCACTTCTTATCCCATGTGCCATGCCCCAAACCCCACTGCCAAAGTTTATGGACTGACTGCACTTTTTATCTCACCTGGTTTCTCTGAGTGTCCCAGCCCCTGGCTCTAAAGCAATCATCTCTCTCTTGGGGAAGAATCACATAAATCTCATCTCAGATGAGCCCTTGGGCTGCAGCCCCTGTGATCACCTATGATAATTTCAGTAGGCTCAACTTATCTGCAGTGCCTGCATTTCGGTTCCCTCCAGCAACAAGCAGGAACAAGGCAGTCTTCTTGAAACAGAACGCTGTTTACAACCACAGACAAAATAGGTCTCAAAAGAATAGTAGCCTGTCTCTCCCTACAATTTACCATTGCCTAGATCTGGGGGAGGCCAGCTTCTTCAGATTCTCTTTGTAGAGCTTCTTTCTGTGTCACCTTGTCCCCACCCTCCTCCCTGCACAGATCTGAACAATTGACCTCCTTTCCCTTTCTGTCCTAAAGAGCCTATTGGGAAAAAACGCTTTTTAACTTAGTGGCCTTTTGATCAGGTTCCCAGTCTGACAAAACAAGGCTTGCATCTTTATTAGAGAAAGGATTTAGGAACTTCCAAACTAATCGTTGTCCCCACTGTCTTTCAAGTATGTGCCAAGGTGTTCTTGTCCGGGGCCTTTGTGTTGTCTTCCTACTTGTTCTTCTTGCAGCTGGGATGGTCCAGAAATTGTGGGAGAAGCAAGGATTTCCTAGTGCAATATATTTTATTCAATTAATTATCCTAACTGCATAGCTGGTGCAATAAAAGATATCATCATAAGAAATCCTTGCCTCTCACATACTTGTTCTTCTAACAGCCCTCACTGATGTACTCTGTATCTCAACAATGATGGCACATACAGTATTTATAAAATTATTACATAGTAGCTCTATACCTGGCACATCTATGTCCCCCAAATCCCCTTCATTCAACCCAACCCAACCCTCCCTCTGCATCATTCTAACTTCCACTCAACTCCCCATAGCCTTTCCTTTTTGCCTCGTTTTCTTCTCCTCTGTCTCTGCTTTTTCTCCCTCTTCTCCTCAATTCTTTGTTTTCTTCTTCCTTTTTTCCTATTTTCCTCAGCTTCTCTCTCCATCTGCCCTCCCTTCTCCTCCCTCTCCTGCTGTCTTGCTTCTCTCTGCCTGTGCTAACCCCAAAGGTTCTGTTGCTCTAGTATGGATGTGGCCCCAGCAGTGGTGACAATGGCAGGAATATTAGCATAAGCAGCTTCTAAACCATTGTGCTATCCAGCCAACTGAGAGCATGTCTCAATAGCATGTCAGCAGAAAACACCAGTTACTGGCCTGTATGAGCACTATGGCTATCGCTGGAGCTGCATTGTTGCTGAAACAATGGTTGGAGAATTCCAGCAAATCTTCAGTGTAGGCAAGGCCTCTGAGTCTGTCCTCCGGCCCTGCCCATGAGCTCATGCAAAGGCATTTGCCTGATTAGATTCCCAGATGTGCAGGCACACAATAAGGCAGGGAAACCCTTGTTATTCTGAAGTTCCAGCACTCCCCCCTGGGAGCATTTACCCTTCCTATCGCTTTCTTCCAGTCCGGGACTGCTCAGGTGTCCCTCAGCAAGAACAGCCACCTGGGTTCTGGGGCTGAATCATTCCCCTTTCCTGTGGTCCCCACCTCTGAGATTCTTCATGTTAGCTAGAGTTGTCATAAACAACAAATGAATCAGACACCTATGCTAATGAGAAGTCCTCATCTGACAGATGGGACAGTGCCAACCCATATAAGGGTATATTTTGGTCTGTATATTGCAGCAGCATCACCACACCCAGCTGCTTGAGCCTGGATTCCTGTATTGAACACTGTACACTCTTGAGTTCACAAAGGCTGCAAAGTCTGCATCCAATGTGCACTCCAGGGGGCATGGAAAACCCCTTTGAGTTACTGTTCTCCTGCCTAAAAATAAGAGGGCTCCAGTTCAGGTTTTCTTGAGCAGACCATGAATGCAGGTCAGGCTCTTTCCTGCCTCAAAGGGCTGTCCCCACAGTCTGCTTCAGGTTTGGACAGAATGCCAGCTCCCTTTCTTGTCTTGTTATTTTACTTGCTATCAGTTACTTGAAGCAACCACAAACAAATCCCGGGCTGGGTTTCTGTGCAAGCATCATCCCCGTCAGGGGCAAAGGAAATGGCTGCTCTTGTAGAGAGCCAAAATATTTGTGAGTAGCTCCAATGTGGAGTGAAGCTTTTGTCTGATGGATGCCAGCTTAGGCCTCTCCTCAAATGCGTGGCTTCCACCTGTCAGTCAGTCCTGCTGAGGAGTCAGTCAGTCTGTAAGTATGCTCTTACTCAAGCACAAAACATGAGGTTGAGGCAGGACTCAGTGGGGGAAATTCTCTGGCCTGTGTCATGCAAAATAGATTATTGAAGTAGTCCCCTCATGAATTTGCAAGGTCTCTGGCTTCAGCTCCATATGAGCCTTTTGGCTCATTCTGAGAGTGGCAATGACAAAGTCAGCAGGAGAGAAGCATGTAGGTAGAAGGAGTCTCACCAGAGTGGATGTGTGAGACCATCCTAAGGAGGCAGATTTTAGGCTTGTATATCATGGTAGTGGAGGATCCTGGCACTGAGGGGCCAAAGCATGCCCCAATCACTCATGCCCGTGGCATAATCTAAACCTGGAAGTGTGCTGGCAGTGAGGCTGCTCCAGGCTTGCCCTTCTGGGCCTGTCCTCAAACCCTCCACCTTTGGCACATCTGAGAAGAGGCAATAGGAACAAATCTGGAGCAGCCACATGTGAAATGCATTGGCAGGCATGGGTGGATAAGACATGGGTAGATAAGGCATGGGTAGTCCGTGATTCCCCTGTCCTCTCCAGGACCAGCCATTACATTCAGAAGGGACTGTTGTGACCATCTAGTCTGACCTCCTGCATAGCACAGGCCCAGGAATTCCAGAGAATAGTTCGGATGTCCCCCCATTCTGTGATGATGAAATACTATACAAATATGCTCCCATCTTTATCGGCTTTGGCTTTAGCATTCTTCGCATTTTGCTATTTGCAATCTTGTCTCTCCTTTCCGAATCACTCCTTGAGTTACACCTCCTCATGATAATCAGCCAGGCATCATTCAGGGAGCAAAAGGACAGGGAGGAGAAGAGGGTGGGGACTTTTAGCCAGGTATCCCAAAAGATCTCATCAATGCTCTTACCCGGTTGGCAGGAGAGAGAGCTGGGGGTGGGGGCAGATAATCACAGCTATTCCTTTTCTTGTTGGCAGCTCTGGGTACAGGTAAAAAGTGCAAGGCCTGGTGTTATCTCTGGTGAAAGACAAACAGAAAGGGGAAAGTGAGAAGGAATTCTTGATCCAAGAGGGCTCTTATCTCCCTTCCGTTTCCCTTGCCCCAGAGAGATATGGTGGGCTCAATGCACTGTTGTTCCTCTCAGGACCCTGCCTCCTCCCTTCTCTCCACCCTGGCACCTGTGAGTGACTATGACTCTGTGTGAGCGGTTTCTAATCCACACTATTCACTACTCCTGTTTGTGAGATCTGCCCATCACACACACACATGCTCGCACATCACAGAGGCTCTGCCAACACATCTCACTCCTGACCTGCAAGCCCTGGTCCCCTTCTCTTCCAGATGTCTTAGAGTTTGCTGCTCATCCCAAAATTCACAGAACAGAACTGATTTTCCCAAATGTGTCCTGAAAGGCTACAGCTTGCAGAGAAATGAAATACAAGTGTATTAATTTCAGATGCTGTGGTATAATGTTATCATTACATGAAGTAGTACATGCCAAGATGTGGCATCATGGTCTTGTAACACAATCCTTGTGTTTGGTATGCCAAACAGAGACAATTCAAAGGGTATAAAAATGAACATTGTGTAAAACCAAGCCGCCTACATGGAGAGAAGAACAGGAACTTGTTCCCCATTTTAAGCCCATTTCAGAAAGAAATCTTAGCTATTGAGTCATATACAAGCAAATCCGTGTTGCTCAATAGACAGTAACTAATTACCACATCTTACGACTTCTCAGCTCATACTTGTAATTAAACCACTGAGAGGTCAACAGATTTCTCCCATCTTTGAGCTGAGGCTTTGCTGCATGCCTCTCTGGTAAACAGAAGTGTGCTGTGAGCTGGGAGAAATGCCCCATCTCTGACATCTTCCCCACAGCCTCACCTCATCCTTTCTATCCAAGACACCTGCAGTTTCATTTGAAGGAGAGGGGATGTGTAAGCTATTTCCCAGAGACATGTTAAGACATGGAGGGAGGAGGGGACTGTGTTAGGTTATGCAAATCTGTAATGGGTTCATGATATGTTAAGAGGCAATGCTGTCCTTAACGTGAAGAAGACCAAATCTGCCCCTTTAAAATAGGTGGGAAATTACAGCAATTGGAGACAGGGGAGAATAAAGGAAGAAATGTGTTACTTGATACCAACGGGTGAGTATGCTGCCCTCTCCTGAACAAATAGATAGACCTAGTATCTCCTCTTGACTTCTTGTTTGTGTCCATCCATGCAGCAGTTAGAGCAGAACCCTGTGATAGTAACCAGTGGAATCACTGCATGTTGATCTCTGCCATGTGATCTTTTGTAGTCCCAACTAGTGCCAAGTGACTGAGGCAAAGAAATAAAGATCAGTCACTTATCGGTCCATCTGTGGGTCCCAACTTGATTATGGAGGGACAGGAATAAACTCACTCTTTGGCCAAAAAGGAGCAAATGAATCGTCTGCAAAAAAGCTGGAAGAGGCAACTGCAGATTTGCAACTATTGCTGGAAGAAGGGGGCAGAGAAGAGCAATCAGTGTGGATAAAACTGTCCACACCATTCCAGATGGCAGATCCAGAGGCACTGGTGATGTGCAGTACAGAAGAGAATTGCACACTGCTATCTATAGCATCTCAGGGATACTTTGATCCATATGAGTATAGCACTTGGGAAAGACTTCATAAAATAGCAGCTTCCAGGAAAGGCTATTGATCATTAGGTTACAGAGCTATGGAATAAAGTAATCTGAGTCTGAGCAGCTCACAGATGGCTGCCCTGACTAGAGACAAAATTATTTTATGGTATCACTGGCAGCAGGTCAGATCAATGTTCTTACAAAGCAATGCCTTGACTTGGCAAAGACGAGTGGGCATTTGGAAGGCTGGTTAGAACTGGGCTTATTCAGAGCTTGGGTCTCTATCAATCCTGAGCCTGTCTTATTTTGGTGTGGAGACTGTACTCTTAACCCAGTCAGTTGGTGGGTGAATCTGCTGAAAAAAACATACATTTGTCATTTGGTCAAGTTCAGGTTCATGTTAGAGAATTTGTATGCGGTGCATATATTTTTGGTGAGTCTTACCTCATGAAGACCACTGAAGAAATCATGCCAAGACATCAATATGGAAGTGTTTCATATCTCTGAACTAAGCTAAAAAAATTTTTGATGACCTGATTTGAAGTGAAGACAGACATCAAGCACAGTGGGATTCTGTATGCAGTTCCACAATGTGAGGAAGAAAAGAACCTCAAATTGAATAAGAACAAATACCAAACTTCCCTGCATAAGAAGAAAAATAAGAGGTGTTATCTCAGATCTGCAGAGTCTATGGTCAGCAGCATCTCATCTAGGTGCCACAAATGGGTTATGGCTGAGAAACTCTATTTTTTTTATTCCAGTCAAGAAGGAGCCAAGCTCAAGGAGCCTGGTAAAATCCTCTGACCTATCTGAGACCCACTAAGGGGACACTAAATGTCAGGAATCAGCCAACATGGAGAAAGCAGCAGTCTTATTTTGAACATCGGGGGATGGATCCAGAGGAGTTGCAGTGGCACTGTTGCACCACCATTTGGCTGTGCCGCACATGAGCACTCAGAGCGGGGCCTGCTTGGAGCTCCTGCCTTTGCATGGCCAGCCCCTGCCCCGATCAACAGGCAAGCTCAGAGCTTACTGCTCAGGTCAAGCCCCAGTAGAACCCAGTGCTGAGAACTCAGAGCTCACTGAGCATGCATGTCACAGCCCAAATGGGGGGCAGCAGCCCCCTTGCCCTGTTCCTGGATCCTCTGCTGTGAACAACTGCATGGCTGACGGTCAGAAGGGTCTTATTTTGTCAGTTCACATGGGCAGAGCTTACTTTCTGGGTGGAATTCAGAAGAGTAGTGCTGCTGCTTTCCTCTTTGTCCTCTGCTTGAACTCTGATGGTACAAGAAAAACAAAACAGTTTGGCTGGTCTTAAGAAAGGTGGCTGCAACTGCACAAATAGAAAGATCCCAAGACAACAGAACCCAATGGGGATTCATGGATATGAATTTTTGAACCTAGGTAAAAATGTCTTCCTGATTTTCATAACTGAATTCTCCACTGTGGTATATCTCTCCCAAGATCACACTGGCATATCCTTGTTATAGAAACCCCAGCAGTGAAATATTGAAATTAATAAAAACCTTAAACTCTTATTCAATGCAAATTTGCACAAATAGCAGCTGCTTAAATACAAGATGATCACCCAATGGCATATGCTTCCAAGGCATTGACTAAACCACAAGAGAACAATGGAAAAGATTCTGGCATTTATTTTTTATTTGTGAGTGGCTTCACTGATATATTTAAGGTCAGCAATTGGTGGTAGTTGAAGAGAAGGCATTGGAAGCCTTGTTACAGAAACCATTGTATAAAGCAGGGCCTAGACTTCAGAAAATTATCATGAAACTGAAAAAAAATGATTAAATATGAAATTCAGGCTTGTTTTTAAAAGTGCCTATCAAAATAAAAGGAGAGAGGTACAAAATGAGGAGTTTTGATACAAGTATGACTCAGACACTACCCCTTTCTGGAGCAACATTTGAAAAGCTCAGATAAGAAATGCAAATATGGCTCAACTTTAACTGACTGGAGACAGCAATTAGAGATGGACAGTCGACATAAAAAGCCCAGGTATTTCCAAGCATAAAACAATGAGAGCATAGTGTCTAAATGACTGCACATGATAGCTACTGTGCAAAGGACAGGAACTGAGGAATGTAAAAATATTAGGTGTAGTGCAAACATATCTCCAGGCCTTGAACCCTTCACACAGGACCAACATGAAAAAAAACAATCATGGTGAAAATAGACTCCCAACGAGACCTCTTTGGCTCCCAGCTTGTAAGTTTTTGAGATGAGAACTTTCCTAGCAAGATTTTGCTCTGAGTTACACCCGGGTAAAACCAGAATAACTCCACCAAAGTCAGTTAAGTCATCACTGAGGCCCACCCTGATAGCAGAATCTGCCTCCTGTCATCTATAAGTAGGAGCAAGCTGGGGTGCCCAGCCTGCTCGCCTGCCTCGGCTGTTACACGTGCTGCCTGCCTCGGCTGTTACACATGCTCCTTGGACGTCCGGTTCTTGCATACGCAGGCCTGGAAGGACTCGGTTTGGATCTGATCCTCGGACGTCCGGTTCTTGCATGCGCAGGCCTGGAAGGACTCGGTTTGGATCTGATATCACAGTGCAGGGACTTCTCCCCCGCCGCCAAGAAGCAGCCAGGAAAACCCCACCTGCATCAGGGACTTGTCACAGGGAAGTTGCATGGGAAAAAAAACAAACTCGCTTGAGGAAAAAGGAGCGTGTGCATGTGCATGCACGCGTGCTTTGGGGTTTGTGGCTTTGCAAAGAATCCCCAGGCTTTTTTCCATGAAGCTTTAAAATGAAACATTCAAAATGTAATCTGAAGAGTAGGTTAACCAAACGATGTAATAACGATCATTCTTAATTCAAGATTACTTACCTTTCTCCATTAATCATTGCATCGCTGAATAGATAGCTTTGGTATCCAAGGCCTATTTTTGTGATTATGGGGGGGAAAAAACAGGGAAAAAATGGGTCTCTGTCCATATGCCGATAGGCAATGCTACCAATCCTGTTTATTGAGGACTATGATAGTCCATGGTATTCATCACTGAATGCTGGCATCTGGCCTGTGGGAGAGGAGTCGGGTGCTGTGCAAGCGCCTCAGAGATCCGGGACCCTGCTCTGCAGAGCTTACGGGGCATTTTAAGGACAAACAGGAGTTGAGAGGGAGGATTTCCAAGAAGCAGCAAGGTGAGTGGGTACCCTTGGAAATTCCCCTCTGCCTTGTGGGGCAGAGCGCCTGGGGAGCCTTCTCTTTGGAGGTGAGACTGTCTCACTTTTGGATTTGTTTTTTACTAGTTTTTTCTTATAACTGGCTGGGGGGAAACGGTCATTGTTAAAGCACTTGACTGGGACCCAGGAGCTTGGGCTGCTCTTCCCAGGCCTGAGGTGAGACAAGACACTCCCTGGGCCCAGCTGGGAGACGATCCTGTCCCTTCCTAGAGGCGTGGAGAGGCCTGGCTCCTGGTCCCTGCAGAGCCCCCGGCTAGCGCAGGGTCAGAGAGCGCAGAGTCTGTGCCCCAGCACCGCCGCCAACAACTGCCCTTTGTCTTGTCTCTTATTCTGCCACCGTCCCAAGGCTGGTGGGTGTCAACCCCTCGCGTGGAGCAGTCATGCAAATGCCTCGGAGCCGTCACCTGGGACTCCCTGGGGGCACCCTGAACCATCTACCATGCCTTCATCTATTCCATCACCTCAGCTGTCTTTGCCCTTTGCTCTTCTCTCCCACTTCCTTCCCATTGCTGAATTGTCTCAACAGTATAATCCATATTCACAGCTTCTGCATATCTAAGCCCAGTAGCGTGTCTGGCTTTGGTGACCTTTCCCCAGGACAATGGCTGCTATTGAAATCAATGAGGAATGCCAATTATGACTTGCAAAAGCAAAGGCGTTGGTCTCTTCCATACAGAGAGGGTTCCGCTTAGCACCAGCACAGCTGGGAGTGGGGGAGGTTGCCCTGGGAAAAGATGTAAACCATGAGCTTGTCTTTCATTCGCACCCAATTTCTCATGCTTTGCCCTATGGTGCCAACCCTTTGGGGGTCACACAGATGCTTCCCTGCTTAGCTATGCTTTTTAGCAAATTTAATACCAGTGCAAGGTGCCAGATGAACGGCTCTGAAGATTGAAGCCCTCTGTTTTCCCATAGCATGACCTGCTTACTGCACAGTTAAAAGCTTCCCACATCCACCACGCATCACCAGTGTACGTCAACCCTGCTAGACAGGGACCACCTCTAGGGTTCAGAGGAGAGGTCAGTTTGCATGGCTCACTGAGTCCTTGGTCCTTTTACTGAGACTGTCAACAAGCGGCAAATTAATGCCTGGCAACTGTGACTAGTATGTTCTGTCTTTCCATAGATAAATACCTGTGTGACTGGGAACAGGGGAGGGAGTACAGAGTAGCCTCCTAAACACGGGACTAAGAGATCATCTGAACTCTGACAATGAACTTTTGGTAACTTTGGATGTCTGCTCCTGTTTCCCTATGTATAAAATGCGGATAATAATACTTCCTTACCTTACAGGTCTGTGAAGTGGAAATAGTCTATGTATGTACAACACGTTCAGGATAGAAAGAGCTACATACATTATAATTACATTGTTATAGATTCTAAATATGCCTACAAATTTATTTCACCGGAGTACAGTCTACCTTAGTGACTTTCAGCCAGGTGCCATGGCACCCTAGGGTGCTGTGAGATCCTTTTAAAGGGTGATGCACAATATCAGCACAGCTGGGTGTGCAAACATCTACACAATTCACAAGATAAACCCAGAGATTTCAAACAGGAATCCAGTGTCAAAAACATTCTGAGCTGCTGCTGGCTTTCTGAGTCCTTTCCACAAAAGAATGGCTCTGTTAGTTTTTGTAATAAAAAAACAAAGAGTGAAAACTAAGGACTGGCTTTTTCTGATGAGGTCCTTTGAGTCCAACAAGGTTGAGAACCACTGGTCTAAGCAAACTTCCCCAGATCTTGATCCCTCTGAATTTTAAATTTGCATCCAGTTCTGAAATTTCCATCCAGCCTTATCTCTCTGAGCCAGAAATTGCAGATTTGAATTGCCCCACACAAGAAAAAGATCCTTGCAAGGGAGACCCATCTTTGTATCCCATCTTCTAAACACCCACTTGATTGTAACTAAACTGAGATAGGATTTTAAAAAGCACAGCGAATGCCCAGAGGTGAACAGTTCCCATCTCCATTACCAGGCCCATGAAATTCAGTGCCCATGGAAAATGTTGCCCTCACAGATTCAGATTTCAGGTGCTATGGCAGTGAAAGGAGGTGTAAATGTGTTGCTTATCAATGAAGATGAAACTTGCTCCTCTAGGACACTAGTTAGAAAACAAGTCAGAAAGGAGAAGGTTCCCAGGCCTCTGGGAGCTACACTGAAAACAGTGAGCTCAAAAACTCAATCAGCAAAACAAATAAATGGTATTAACTAGTACATTCTTTAGCTCAGGCATTCCCATCAGCCCAGAAGGCAAAAGGGAGG